TGAAAGTGACCTACTGCAGCTTTAATAAATGCATGGATTGGTCCTGGAGGGTTATATTTCTGTAAAGACAGTGAAAACGGGGAAATGTTTTCAGTCTTTGAGCCAAGCCAGGCTAAACAAAATCCAGATCTATCTTTATACTGGACCATGGGCTTATTAGAACTAAATGCAGGTCTCAGAGATGGTTCCCATACAGTTGTCCACCCACCGCATCTGGCAAAAAAGGTTTGTCTCTTCCTGGTTCGCTCCAGCTCTGTGCACTGCATATACTCATTATAGTCCCTGGCCCGGCCCCCTTGTCCCTATTGGAATGACATCACACTCATAGAAATGTCTTGCCTTGGAAAACTTTTACAAATGTTAAATCATAATTGACCTCTTTTGCAATTGGAGCTGTCCTGTTAACAGTTTTACAGGTGTCTGTGGCCCCTTTTCCACCAAATTAGCCCAAGTTCTGTTCAATATTCTTGGAACCTTAATGCTATTTAGCGAACCAGCCCACATTTCCACCAGTTTTGAATGGAGCCCACTTTGGTTCCCACAGGTCGGACCCGAACCCATGGCTTCTTGGAAATTGCTTTTTGGAATGCAAGGAATTTTCATAGATTTATAGAATGGACACAGCAGGATCAAATTGGTATAAATCTTCTCATCTGCCTCTGCATGGGCACAAGCTTATTTCCCAAAATGCCAGTGTTCCTTTCATGCTGCAAGGCTCTTAAACTTCAGCAAGTTACAGTCTTTAAGTGAATGGCTCTATCATAAAGTACATTGCTAACATCTCTGGCTTTCTTGGATCTATGTTCAGGCTTAATTGGAACCACTGAAGTCTGAACTTAAATTTCAAGGAAAGCACTGATCATAAATGTGTAGTGCTAGTAAGGCAACTGCACTCAATTTAAAAGTACTGTCTGGATGTGAGGATGAAATGAAACCCTGGTAAGTGTACCAGAAACCTTATCTTAATCTCTGCTCTCCCTAAACAAGACCTCCTCTCTGCTAATCCCTTTAGGGCTATTCTTACAGGAACACGCAGCTCCAATCCTGTGTGGCTTGGATTCACTTTCACACATTGGAATATATGCATTTTTTTTTGCCTTTTGATAATAACTTCATCAGATTTAGGGTGGGGCCATGTTTGGTGTTTCGTTGTATTGTGTTGCACTTTGTCGTAGATCCAGACAGAAACATGAGCATAATTTCGACATCATGACAGAATACAGCCATTCAGTTTTTATCTTTGAGCATAAGCCTATAACCTCTAATGTTGCTTTGGCAACAAAGGAACAAAACGGCTGTTGTTTGACATGGGAGATTATATCAAAAAAGTGAAATTTATACTGAAGGACGTTGTGTAATTACTGAAAGTACTGCTGGCGCACACATAGCATGAGTCATTGTCAGAGGAAAACAGGAAACCTTTCTCCTGGCTTGTGATCCCAAGATCCCTTAATGGCGCTGAGTGTTTCCAAAGTGTTGTAAAAGTTAACAATGCCTAAACAATAAACATGCAGCACTCACATGTATTGCTGTCTAATTTGGGTTTGAGTGCCCAATTATTTGTCCATTGGCTTCCAACATGGAAACGAGTAACTGGAAAATAAATGACCTATTTTTCTGAATTTGTTTACTTTGAATTATCTCCAGTGCTGATGATTTAGAGCCCCTTTTATATTCTCGTATATTGTCTCCAGACTAACATCCAAGCAATAAAGTGGATTTCTCTCTGAGTTAACTGAGAAAAAACAAAAGTGCTGATCATGCTCGGATTATTAGCTCCAGCTTGTGCCTCTCACATAGTCTGTATTATTTAAATTGGAGATTGTTGCAGTGGTTACAATTCACAGAAATTCTCTTCACATCAAAAACTTAATCACATATTTAACATATTCTGGACACAGAGATACAATTTTAGACTGTTCCATTCTGTCTGTACACAATATATACAGTATTATTTGGGTGTTTCAAAGTAGCATACTGAAATTACACCTGCTTATTTCTTTATGTATTTCATAAAGCCCAGGCTGGATTTAACCCTGCAAGGCAGCTGGACTCACAAGATCACAAAATCACACAAGAATCCAGGCATCCAGTTTGTGGCTGGTACAATGGTACTGGACCAATCAGCGTCCTTTGTGGAAGTACTGGCAGCTACAAAGAGGGTTGCTAGGTGTTATGCTCATTAGATAACAATGGCGATGTTAGCATTAGCATAGATGCTGCGAGCATCAATCAAAACTGATTAAAAGAAGTGCAAAGAGGACTTCTCAGATGATTCTGTGATCTGGCGCAGTCAGGGTCAAGTTTGGCTGGATCACCAATTGAGCAAGGTTCATTGTATTGCAATTGGTATGTGGGGGTATGATTATTTGTCAATTCATCTATCTATTTTCCACTACTTATCCATGTCCAGGAAGTGGTGGCAGTAGGATAGGCAAGGTAACCTAGATGTCTTTCCCAAGATGTTCCTAGGCCAGATTGGTCACGTAATCCCTTCAGTGTGTTCTACGTCTGAATCTCCTCCCAGTTAGACATGCCTAGAAAACTTTTGAAGGAAGGCATCCAGGAGGAGCCTGATAGATGAGGGGTAAATTAAATGTATCCCTCAGTAAAACTTGGATTGTGGTCCAACTGTGCCATTTGTTTGTGACAGTGTGCTTTAACTGACTAGCAGTGCAGCTATCTATCGATAACAGCCAGCTAACGTGTGTTCTTTTGTTCTATACTAGTGGAACTTTCCTCTGCTGATGTTCATGTGGAAGATAGCACCGGCCCTGAGTTGTGGAAACACTGTGGTCATCAAGCCAGCAGAGCAGACCCCCCTCACGGCCCTCCACGTTGGATCACTCATCAAAGAGGTCTGATGTTATACTCAATGTGTACAGTGGGATTGATCCAAGCTGTGGGCTGAGAGGGGTTTAGACTCTAAACCTATGAAGGTCCTCTTCTTGAAAAGATTCCGGGCCAGTATTCTTATAGAAAATCCGGCTTCTTATGGGATTAGAATGCTTTGCTATGTTTTAGTTGTGACTGTTCCCAGCAGGGGAGACGATCTGAACCTGAATACTTTAACTGTGGTTTCCAAAGGGTGGTTCGGAGACTCCCAAAGGTTTCTGCCTTTACTGGACATAATCGCAGTTTAACAATTTAATTAAATTTGACTCTAGGTTTCACTGTCACCTGCTAACAACTTCAGAAGAACAGACTTCATCTGCTAGCATACACTTTTGCAGTATATAAACAGCATTCCTTTCACATGGGACATGCGATGTTTTCGGGATGTCCGTCCCATTCTTGTAAACGTGATATCTCAAGAATGCCTGGAGGGCATTTCTTATTGGCAGAAATGCCCTCTTGGCAATCCCTCCAGGATGTAGTGATGTCGCGATCACAAAAATAAATGTAAATTCAACCAATCCCCATGAATTCTATGCAACATTGCAATTTTGTCAAGTCACTGCAACTTTTCTGCAAATTTGACCAATCATTGTAGTTTACTGTGCAAAATGTTGAGCCATACGGCACCAAACTGATTCCTCATTTCTGTTTCTAGCTGTGATGATGTAGACCATTTTTCAAACTTACTGTGTCCTAACAGTGCGATTTTATTATCTCTGGAACAAGTTACCTAAAATCTTTAATGAATATTTTTTTAAAAGCAAGTATTTTAGGCCAGAACAATCCACAAAATGCTTGCAAAATCCTGGAGGGACTGACCTGGGCTCAAGGATGAACTGATTTGATTTTAGTGTAAAAGGTCATTTTTGGCCATAACTTGACCATATTTCACAATTGGATGGACACCTCATTTGAGCCTTTTGGCAGATAAGGCATTTCATTTATTCTATTCATTGTTATGTTATATTTTCTGTTAATTACGGTATATATGCTAGGTGGAGAAATACTGAATCCTTCATACTAATTATCTTTTTTTGTTGGCCTAGAGTTAGTAACATTTAAATATACAGGGTGTGTGAAATGCAGGATTCAGCCTGTCAAATCCCTACCATGTATAAGTTTTAGCTGATGTTAACTCCTCTAATATGTCCCTGAAATCCCAAAATTCTTTAAAAAAAAAAAGAGAGAACATGACCTTGGTCTCTATAGTAGTCCTGGTCATTTGTTTTTAATTTAGAAATACTAAGATATACCAATATGTGACAATATTGAGACATAAGAACTGTAAAACACAGTTAAAGATGAGATGATAAAATAAATACTAAACTACTGTATCAGCCAGACCTACCCTACACTAGGCAAATAGGGAAATGGACGACCTGTGATCCAAATCCACACACACTTGCATGAGGTCACAGGCTGGGGTATTTTTTTCAAATCACTGGTGAGCCCCTGCATTAACACAGCCTCTGGGTTGCTGTTTCAGGCGGGGTTCCCTCCTGGCGTTGTGAACATCGTTCCAGGGTTTGGTCCCACAGCAGGAGCAGCCATCGCCTGCCACATGGACATCAACAAAGTGGCCTTCACTGGCTCTACAGAGGTATGTGAGAGTATGGCAACAGCATACAGACACGCTGCATAACCATCTAATAAACCACTAATAAATGCAAGATAAATACTCACAAATACATTGAGTGGTGCAGTGCTGCTTTTATTGAGATCAGACAATTTCTTTGTTTTACCCATGATGCATTAAGGTAAGGTTCAAATTGTTGTGTACCGTCATGTGTGCAGGTGGGCCAGCTGATCAAAGAAGCTGCAGCTAAAAGTAATCTGAAGAGAGTGACTCTGGAGCTGGGAGGAAAGAACCCCTGCATTGTGTTTGCCGACTGTGACTGTACGTAAACATGCTCTCTCTCACTCATACTGAACAATGACATGCAACTTCAAAATGTATTCAGATTTTTCAGCATGCACTGGGGTCACAACATGTAGGATTAAACATGGATGGGTGGCATGGCGTTTGGTGTCAAATGCTGTCAAATTTAACACAGAAATTAATTTGAAGGGCTTAAGTTCATTAAAAAAGATATGAATTTGCAAGTAAAACTATTCAATGCTTCACTAATGTGCCACAATAATGTAATGTTTTTTAGTTCAAATACCTTCATTTTCAATATTGATATATGTGATTGTGATTAAATCAGCATTATTTCTGCCACCCCTTAAAGTCTCCATGACACCCTCTGGACACCCCATGAATATTTCTCTAGATCCGCACCTGGCAAGATGACTTCTCATCTTTCACCTGTGCAAATCACCTGTCTGTACCTTTGCTGTCATCTCACAACTATCTCACAGACAGTTGCTATATCAAAAAAACACCAATACTGTAGCTAAGTGGTAAAATGCCAGCAATAAAGGGAACTGGCAGTATAACCAACTACAGGAAGTGACTATAGGAATGCTAAAATAGAGGGAAAGTGGGTACTTCAAAAATGTAAATTACAACTCACCATCAACTCCTGAAATGCACTGAACATCCCAGAGAGATGATACATAATGGAACAGAGAACACACCCTAATATAAATAGGGGGGGGCAGCGGTCTTGACCGAACCAACACACATCCATGCAACATGTAAAATCACAGTACCCTGACGTGCAAGAAATGAATGAAGAGCCATTAACGATTGTCTTAATGAACAACTGTGGCATAGCGTTATTAATATTGCAACATATAAGTCATAGCACCGTGACGTCAGCCAAAAAGGTCCAAAAAGTAAATAAAGAGCCATATAGTAATGATCATCTTAATAAACCATCCATGCAGCATGTAAACTACAGTGCATGGTGCATGCAAATATATATTTTTAAAAAGGAAAATATATATCATAAATGAAAGTCCCCATGCACTGCCAACAAAAGTCAGGTGCTGGTAGGTTGCAGGACCATATAGTAAAACATCCAAATTAACCGCCGCACACTGGCACTGACTTGACTGTGATTTATTTAAAAATAAACAACGCGTCCTCAAATTCGCTCAGCAAAATTACATGAGCACTCACAGGTGTAGCAAATAGGCCGCCTGGGTCACTATATTTTTTCCTTACCTCATTTCAAAGTGTTTTTTTTTTTACAAAGTGAAAGTATTTTTTTAAAACATGCTGCACAAAAATACATAATACAGCAGACAAAACAAGATAAATATAAAAACAGCATGATTAATCTAACACAATCACAAGAATTACACCTTTTTACATTAAACAATAAGAAAAAATAACATCCATGTCCAGCAGAAATATCCACTGGTGGCAGGGACCAGAAGGGGTAGTATGAAGATACTGAATACTTCAGGCACTTCTCTACTATGGTAGAGAAAGTGACATTTTCTCCTGGAAAAGCCAAACGTTTCTTTATTTTGATCCTGATTATTAGCTTCCAAAAAGTGGTCACTAGTCTTACTGGCCAGTAGTCCAGTCTTCCATGATATGCAAAACTGCACACCATTGTCACACAGTGGGTTCACCCATTTTTTGACAAATTCAGTTAATTTAACCCTTTTTGTATCCACCCCGTAATTCAGATCCACTCCAAAATTTAATGGGGTCTTCTTTACTACAGTCTTCCACGAGTTCCATGAAAATGGGGTCAGTAGTTTTTCTGTAATCCTGCTCCTCGGGTAAACATAACCTCCTCCTCGGAGGTAACAAATCACACAGTATCTATAGCAAGAAATGGCTAAACAGGCCAAACATAAAGATCAGAAAATGAGTGAAAAGACAGACAATAGTAGCTAACAATGAAAGCAAAATTGTCACAAAGACACAGCAACGAAAGCAAAAAGAAAATTAAAAAAAGGTCCAAAACAGTAATAACCAAAATAAAATCCATGAAAGAATTGTGAATTTTTCTTTTGATGATATTTGGAAAGAAAATCTGCTTTTGGTGTGTCTAATATTCCAAGCAGAAGAAACTCTGCCAGTGCTTGGATAAAAACCAGTGTAGATTTTCACAATAAAAGCGTGGTCTATCATTGCAAATGAGTGGAAGAACATTACACGGAAAGAACAGTGAAGAACTAATCTGGCTGCCTTGTTCTGTGAAATGTGACTTTTTTAGATGTGTCTTTGTAGGACTTAAGCAAATGTGACAGAGCAAGTGCCGGAACAACATCATTTATAACAGAAGATATAACATAATGTATGCAGTAAATGATCTAATTTAACACCCAGTAATTTGATCCTTAGATGTTAGATTGGATCTTGTAGTTTATTTATGTGTCTTTCTATGTGTGTGTGTGTGTGTGTGTTTGTGTCTACAGTGCAGCTGGCCGTGGAGGAAACCCAGAAAGGAGCTTTTTATAACCAGGGTCAGTGCTGCACAGCTGCATCACGTGTCTTTGTGGAGGAAAGTATTCATGAAGAGTTTGTGCGCCGCAGCATAGAAAACGCCAAGAAGATTGTCATAGGAGACCCGCTGGATCCCCGGACATCACACGGGCCACAGGTCGGAACACAGTTACCATCATACAATACTAATCAGAGTTTAAACCTGCAAGTGCATTGTGTTTGCTGACTTATCTGGAAGGTTCTGGGAAATGGCTGTGGGCTGCTCTGTAAAGCTGCAGTAGGTAACTTTTATAAACTCAACAATCAACTCTCTTTCTCCATGCTCATTGCTGCCCCTTGTGGCTATTTGGGGGCAAAACAGTGAGTGAGCTGACCAACCATTCCAGTGTTTGTCCTTTCTGATCTTCTGTCTGTGAAAGGGATGACACACATCTTCTTTACTGATCAGGTGCAGGTGGCGAGGGTGAGGGGATAGCAAGGGTTGACGGTGGTTGTGTGAGTCAGAGGGGCCAGTTGATGGTTCCCCACAGTGTGGTGGGGGCGGTTTCCTATAGCTGGTGATGTCCTACAGGCCTCGCCACAATGATGGCGGGTTGTTTACTGAAAACCTGTTTGTCAGCTTTTCAGTGTAGATCCCCTTTGCTACTCTGATCTCTTTTGTCAGTGTGTTTCAGGCCTGGTTGTACAGGATTCTGTCCTCTCTTCTGCAGGCCTCCTCCTTGGCCTGATGAAGCTGCCTGAGTTTAGCTGTAAGCA